GTTAATAATTTAATTTGAAAGTGGATAATCGAGACTTTGGATATTATCATAAAACAGCGGTAGCAATAACAGTAGAGACTACATTGTTCTTCAAACGACGATAACTGAGCTCAGCTCAGAATGAAATAATTTGACTGAAATTTTCAACATAAATAATATTCCCTTTTCATTATCTATTTTTAAACTATTATAGTGAGAAATACCAGCTCTTTATCTAAATCTTACATAACATATCTTTAAGCGGACAGTGTTGAAACCTCCCTTGAGTGACTGTTGTAGGTAATTGATTATTAGATTATCTGTCAAAATTTATCGTCACAAATTAAAAAGAACCTCGCCCTGAGGTCAAACAGTTTAACAGATTCATTGCGACATGGTCGCAAATTATTATTAAATTATTATTATGTAAGATTAAGATGAAACAAAAGCTGCTAGTTCTCGCTATAATAGTTAAAAATAGATAATGCGAAGGGAATATGTTGAACTAAGTTAGGGATATTTGGAGAATAGCGGAGTCTCGATTGTCACTGCTACCGTTACTACAATAGTAAACAGCGTCTCGATTATCCATTTTTTAATTAAATCATTAACCGCCAATCGTTTTTAAATCGCTTGAAAATCTAAAGCATCCGATAGCATCGAGAGTTGATTATGGCCTTGCCATGTTAATAGATGTCTTATTAATAGTTTATATAACATTTAAGGCCCACAGGAAGACGTGCAGTAGGCAGATTACTATTTAGCTCTTGAATATGCCTGGTTAATAGACATTCCTTTTTTAATTTACCTAATGACCACCGGCGGGGCGGTTTACTCATCTCGACACTAGGATTTAGGGGCTTCTCAAGTGACGCATGAGTGACTGGATAATTGACATTATTGACCTTAGCCATTCCCCAGTGTAAGTAAAAATGGCACCCTTCCTTAGAACTGTGCGCTAATGAAATGCAATGTAATGGGGTTTAACTTTCTACTTTTTTGCACCCAGTGCGTACCGGTGTTGGCCGAGAAAATTTCTCGGAATTTTCCAGCCTGGACGAAAATCCTAGCTCTAATTGTTTACATGTTGGTGTGCTCATAAAAGAAACTGTGAGAGTTGGAATTCGATGACGAGTAGGAGGAAACGCCACTGCCAGGTCAAAAACCTCCCCTCTTAGCACACTAGTTAGTCAAGAAAAGCCAGACGTTAAACCCTGCAGCATTCAATCTGAAAGGAAATGAAGTAGAATTTCACATCCCACTTTTCTGCTCCAACTGGGCTAATAAAGACGGACAATACGCTATACAATGTGCAATGAGAGAAATTTGTCCCTTGTAGCAGCGCTACGTCCTACTCTTATTTCCAATTCTACCTGTCAGGTGTACGCCAATGGATACGCGGCTTTTCGTACTATCCAGACGATTAGACATTGCCCTTGTCAGACCGTCCGTCTTCCACCACCGACAAGGGGAGGGGAGGGGGTCACGCCGGAAGATTCCGAGGAACTTTCTCGGCCAACAGAGGGAGCGAATCCACGACCGCTTGGTTAGTGAGTCAGAATTTCACCCACTGAGTCACCACTGTTTCTGCTAAAAATAAATGGTGGTGATATAGAATACATTCTTACCTTGCATCATGGTGTTAGGTAGAGCTTCAGCGGGTTTGCTATCTTTAGTTAGAGTACAGCAGAGTGGGATAGGATTTATACACTGTGTACCAATAACCTGGTTACTAGGACACATGGCGATACCACTTCCGGCCAAACGATCCATATCGATGTTGCTGACACTTTCTATCATGGAGACGGTTTGTCCTGGGCTTAAACTAAACGCTCGTCCAATTACACCGGATGGTCGAGATTGGCCGGCATTGAACCATAGAGCAACACCCATTGGTTGATTCACGTTTGTGTTGATGATGTTACCCAATAACTGAGCGTCACAGAAACCTTCAATGTGGCCGTTTTCTGTAATAACTAGTTGAAAGTGACCATGAATCGGTGAACTCATACCGGCAGATATTTTCGCCTCCATTTCCAGTTCCTCTTGTTGCGCCATTCCCCAATTGCTCCATGCGTTCTGGTTGGCATCAGAGAAAGTTATTCTCATTTCGTCATCTGTAGCCGTTGATCCAATACAAGTCATATAAGATGTAGATTGCACAGGATTTGATCCCCACATTGAGGCACCGAACATTCCCATACCATTGCGCGCCCCCATTTGAAACGGGAAACCCTGTCCTTGAACCTCTTGGTTGAGGATGGTTACTATGGTGATAAGAAGAACTGAAATGACCGGCATTTTTAGTTTGTATGTTTTCTTGACTTCACGTGAAAGTGAAGAGATGAAGAAAATGTTGGATTTATATATCATGGTAAACTGTTATAGTTACGCCACCGACACCTCATCATCATTAGACGCGCTACATCACTTCACGCCAGGTGATTTCCTGCTTAGTTATCTAATGACTGAGAAGGCGGGGGATCCGCTAAAGGGAAACGTCGCGGTCTTAATTAATACTGGTGATTAATTGATTAATAATTAGCCAATAATTAGACGATACTAACCGCCATATTTCTTTTTGACACCATAATTGTCGGTAATTTCGTTGATAAGCAGACGTTCGTTTCATTATTTACCTACATGGGGAGTCGTTCACTTGATTGGTTTATATCTGTGGTGGGGGAGTTGGGTGGACGAATGTTTTCTTTTTTGCGTGAGCTTTAGATCGGATTTCTTACGGAGTCCATCCCGGTATTTGGCCAAGAGCATTCCTCGAGATTTTACAGCGTGGTTTCCCCTTGGCCGTGGTGCATGGCAGCGTCTAGTTGCCCGGGTACACGTTGACATTCGCGTCAACGATTCCATGACAGTCGGAATTCGATGAAGAGTAGGCACAAACGCAGTTGGGGGGGGGGGGGGTCGCTAGTGGTTTAGCGTTAAACCATAATAATGTCTGTCATTGAGTCAGGTGAGGTGGTTTCGATTCTCCGCTTGTATACGAAAGGGATTAGTGTCGCCTGTCCAACTTCGTGGGTTTTCTCCGGGTGCTCTCTGGTTTTCTCCCACTGCTATAGACCCCTACGAGCAAGCGCATTATTAAATAAAATTGAACCATACGTTTGTCCAGAAATAACCTAGTCTATCTCTCTCAAAGACGCAGATGTCTAGGTTCAATTCCATTCATAGCACACTGCATGGTATATAACACCTGGAGTCACCTGTCCACCCTCGTGGGTTTTCTCCGTGTCCTCCGATTTAGCCCCATGGCTGATGACCCCTATTGAACCATATCTTAATATCGAGTGGACTTTAAGCAACATCTTTGGCAATAATCGGCTTCAGGTAAGCAATTCAGAACAGTTTGTTACTTTTGAAACTGTTTGAAAGTATTTATTTCATTAATTTGATAATATCATACCTTAATGTCGATCGGCTCCTCTTTGTTGTCCCCAGCTGTAAAACCCATAAGATGAACGGCCACTCTTGGAGCAGTGATGCACAGAGGTTCTGGGATACCCGGAGCCAACTCCACGAATGTATACCCACATGACTCAATGGGCATAGTGACAAAGGAAGGCATTTAAAATATACTAAAACAGATGAAATTACGTTTTATTCAAAGTAGGGCAAGGTCAAGAGCGACAATTTTAAATTTTAAAAACTTTGGCATTCCAGCCCAGGCGTAGGGTATGGAATCCATGGAACTCTGTCGAGTGCGCCCGCTGCTTTGTCGACACTTCAGTCGAGAACCCAGGTATAGAATCCATACACCTCTATAGAGTGCGCCAAATGACCTGTTAAAGAGCTAGGTGAAAACGTGGCCGGCCCAGCGTGTAAGAAATAGATTTTATTTTGGTTTAGAGCGTAACGTTTTACAATATGGAATATGTTTTCAACCGCGGGTTTCTTTAACGTGATTTTAACACGACAGTCGATCTCACTATACTTTATTATTACTCATCACAGGTAAATTTTCACCTAAAGAAAATAGATATATTCTCAATGATATATCAACCGAAAAATATACTTTTATTTGCATGTATATTATGTATGTAAATGTATGTAAGGGTGTATGTGTGTATATATTTTTATGCTAAAATGATTTCAAATTCTCAGTGTCCGGTATATATATAAAAATAGTTAAAACTATAAACAAGTAGATCTAGCAAAGCATGAACGCTTTCATCTTTAATCTTCCGATTAATCTGAAGATTAAAGATGAATGCGTTCATGCTTTGCTAGATCTACGTGTTTCTAGTTTTAACTATTTTTATATATTTATATATATATATATTGTATAAATATACTATACTGTCCATCTTTATACAATGACATTATTTATGAATAGTCCCAAACCAGTGTTGAAATCAGTTTGTGTCGGCATACCTTTTTTATCTTTTCATCATTTACCGTGAAACAAAGTAGTGCAGCTATGCGGTTGTGCTAATATATATATATATAACTTGTAAATATCCTGTGATATTATTTTTGTAGAATGGAAATAAATTATGTATTTCGTATATTTTGTTAATAAATATATCTACAAGAAAAAAAAAGACGTTCGTTCGCTAACCTTGAGGTACCGTCTTCGATCCCGGTGTTGGCCGAGAAAGTTCATCGGTATTTTTCGGCGTGGTTTGCCCTTGTCAGTGGTGCAGGACGGAGGGCCTGGCAATCGACAACGTATGATCGGACAAAAATCTGCTGTCCCGTGAACACATTGGCGTGCACGTAAAAGAAATGAAATGAAATGTGGTTTAACGTCCCACCGTTCTGCTCCGAGTCTGGGCTAATTATGAAGACGGACACATACAAGAACCCTTGGCAAATGGAATTCGATATAGGGGTAGACCGTAGTGCTGCTGTCCAGACACAATTTCCCTTATAGAACACTTTAGCCGATTCAGAGTAGAACAGTAGAACGTTTAAAACCATTTCGTTAAATAGTCATGAAAATGGTTTTAAATAAATAAACCCAAAGGCGTTTTTTGTGACTTTGTTTATAGAAAGACCGAAGATTGAAACAATATATAGTCCCATTTATTTTACTAATGAAAAAAATAGTAATAATATATCAAGCCTATACACAAACACTGGAATTCATTATTATACATAAAATATCTATAAAGCCCGTCTATCTACGTTACCTCATATACACAAACACTGTAATTCATTATTATCAATAGATATTAATATACATAAAATATCAATAAAACCTTCTGTCTACATTTTCTAATATTAATATTTATCTCGTATAAGCATCTATAAACAAACACTGGAATTCATTATTATAAATATATATTAATATACATGTACATAAAATATCTATAATATTAATATTTATCTCGCATAAGCATCTATACACAAACAATGGAATTCATTATTATAAATAGACATACAATATCTATAAAGCCCGTCTATATCTTATATTAATATTTAACTCGTATAAGCATCTATACACAAACACAGGAATTCATTATTTATAAATATATATTAATATACATAAAATATCTATAAAGCCCGTCTATCTACGTTATCTTGTATTAGCATCTATACACAAACACTGTAATTCATTATTATAAATGAATATTAATATACAGATTCTATAAAGCCCGTCTATCTACGTTATCTTGTATAAGCATCTATACACAGACACTGTTATTCATTATTATAAATAGATATTAACATACATAAAATATCTTTAAAGACCGTATCTACGTTATCTTATATTAATATTTATCTCGTATAAGAATCTTTACACAAACACAGGAATTATTATAAATATATATTAATAATATACATAAAATGTCTATAAAGCCCGTCTATCTACGTTATCTTATATTAATATTAATAGTTATCTCGTATATTTTATTTAATTCTTATGTATTTTAAGAATATATATCATAACTTTCAAAATAAAGTAATTTGAATTACATTTTCAATATATTAATTTTTCAACATCTAACTGTGAGACTAACATATGGTTGAATTTTATCCTAATAATTCGCTTGCGTGTAGAGTTCTTTGGCAGTGGGAGGAAACCGGAGGACCCAGAGAAAAGCCAACAGGTTGAACAGACGACTTGACTTCTTGCCATGTACACGCGCGGGGTCGAAACCACGCCACTTGACTAAATGACAGACCTTATGACCCAACGTGCACGCGTTAAACCTAACCCCACATGCATTTGAAAACAAAAAGACAATGGTGAAAGGCGACATTTATTATAGGAACTAAAACTAGTATATAGTCTACCCTGATCTCATGCATGTAGTGTCCCTATTTACTAAAATGACGTCACTGCCTTAATATTCCTTTCATCAGACCTAGCAAAGACTCTAAACAGTCAACTCCCATTCAATATTTTTATTCGGATGATTGTGACATTTTGGGCTGTTTGTGGTTAGAAAGTTTGGAATGTTAAAAGAAAATGTTATGGGCCTGTGGTTTAATATTGCAGTCAATATTTTATTTATTTATTTATTATTATTATTATTTTTTTTTTTTTTTTTTGAATTGCCAGATATCCTCCCACAGTCTCATATAACAAGGAATTATTAGTGAGCAGACATTCATCCGTGTAACTGGTATCACTCGTTACTTCAGTCAGTTAAAAAGAAGAAGAATAACTCGTGTTTTCCTTTTGCTTTCGTCACTTCCGTTTCTTACAATCTTCCTTAAGCATCTATAGTAGCAATGACGTCTGTGTTAAAATCATATCTGGAAAGTGTTTAACCAGTTCTATCACACCAATATTGTCCTTTGAGTGTGGGGTAAAATAGAGTTATTGGCCTTTATTCTGCTTCAACACTGAAGGGGCTATTTTTCAAGGTTAGACATAAGAAATATCTTACATTATTCATTCGATGATATAAATTAATATTAAAAAGTTCACCAACCGATACAGGAAAATATTTGATTTCATAGATTTTTATAGTTTCTACAAATCGACACATGCACCAAAATTCGACAATTGAATAATAAACATGAATTGATGTTGGACTGTAAATAGAAATAAAATGAAATGGGGTTTGGCTTCCTACTGTTCTGCTCCGACTGGGCTAATGAAGACGAGCATACGCCATAAAGTGTGCTATGAGGTAAATTAGCCCCCACGCCAATCATATGTGTACACGGAATCTCGGTTTTTCGTCCCACGGAAAGACTATGCGTTGCTTGTCGGGCCTTCTGTCACTATAACTATTAACACACTTTTAAAAAAATTATATGCCATACTGACTGAATGAGTAATAAGTTTTCACATCAAAAGCAAGGGCTGGTATACTTTATCTGTCTTCAGTCAATCAAAGGGCGATAACTCCAAGGAGATTGGGTGACCGAATAGTTAAAAGCCTGCGCGCTAGATCACAGGGTCTGTCATTGGGTCAAGTGGTTTCGATTCCACACTTGTACGTGACAAAAAATCGGTCGACTGTCTAACCTCTTAGGTTTTTCTCCGGGTCCTCCTGTTTCTTCCTACTGCTAAAGACCCTTCCAAATACTGTAATGGAAATGTGATAAAAGTTCATATTAATGTGCGGGTTGTCATTGTGGATCAACCCACACAATCGCTTTGTTTTGAATCATCTCTTTCGGTCGTGTTCCTTATCCAGTAAATACCTCAAATTCGCCGGGAATTTCTGTCCAATGGAAACTCCATGTGCTGCCACTGATTGGATGATTGATTTATGTCAGAGGGAATTCCGTCTAAGATCACCGCTCATAATACCATTCATTCATTCTTTATTTGTCTGTTTTTTCACGTTTTGTCTGTCTATCACACTTCATTTTTAAGACCATTCTTCATACATCCATCGTTCATTCATATGTCGTTCACGTTTTGTCTGTCTATCATATTTTATTTTTAATAAAATCCAAGCCCTGATAATAACTAGTGTTAAATTTCAATAATCCCAGATACTCGTCACGTGTTTTATTATGGTGCAACTCCTCTAAACAATCCAAGGCGAATGGTTCAAAGTTTAAATAGAATTTATTAGCAAACATTTCTTTACGGCGTGCCAATAAAGGGAGATCACCCATACCGAATATACAAATAAGGCGAACTCGCTTTCCTCTACACGGCCAATCAAACGGCTCACGACCCCAGTTTTTAAACCGAGCCAGGAATGGTTTCTTATCTTTGGTGGTTTCTGGAATACCTGAAATTAAAATTCAGAAACAAATTAAAATCAAACAAAATAACGTATAAAATGTTGATCGTGATCGATCGTGAATTTATGTTACAAAAATATCTGGTTGTTTTTTTTTAAATAGACACCAACATGGGTGTTGGATAAAGCATTGAGTAGTTCAGATAATTCTGAAAAAAATTATTGTTAAGTTAGAAAATGACATATGGTTTAACGTTTTACTTTTCTGCATCAAAAACGCCATGGACTGTGCTATATGGGGCCATTTTATAGGGACTCTTCGTCGAATTCCAACTGGTAACGTGAACATGGGACTTCGAATTTGCACCGCCCGGACGTGGTAACCTCCTGTTCCACTGACAAGCATACACACGCCGAAAACTCCAGGGAAACTTTATCGGATCGAACCCGTCATTCATATTATGGTAGGGTCTGTCCGGTTGTGCTCCAAAACCATTTATGACAAGGTTTGGGGGCTTTGTGTAGAATTTTTCACCACAGAAGTTCAAAACTTACCTTTATAACAACCATGGTATATCAAGATGTGGCAAATAACGTTTACTAAGTATATCAAGATGTGATATATATAACCTTTACTAGGTATATCATGATGTGACATATAACTGTTACTAGGTATATCAAGATGGGCATATAACTGTTGCTAGGTATATCAAAATGTTTTGTGAATCGCGTTGGCTCAGTGAGTAAGATACTGGCTTGCTAACATGGAGGTCCCGTTTAAATCCCGGTTTTGGCCGAGAAAGTTCCTTGCTGTTATCTGGAGTGGTTTGCCATTGTTAGTGGTGTAGGACGGAATAGTGTCTAGTCTATTGGATGGAACAAACGGGATTTTTTGTATACAAAGAGCGGATTTTTTGTCGGGCAGTTTCATTTCGATTTTCCCGAAATTCGAATTCAACCTTCATTACGTTCGGATATACGCGATTATCAAAAGAAACCAAGATTTTAGTGTGTAATGGTGATATATTCACATAATTATATAAGCTAAAAACGTGATTTTTTTATACATTCAAGGGCCATAATTTAGGAAGTTACGATCCGATACGCGCGAATATCGAAAGCAACCAAGATCCTTGGGTTATAAACATGTATTTCAACTCTCATCAAAATCGGATAAAAATTGTGACCTCTAGAGGGTCCACAAGCTTGATATACTAGATGCTATACACTATTTGCGTACGAGGCGCGGCCATTTTGTCCGGCAGTTTTGGCCCAATTTTAACAAAATTCGAACTCAATAAACATTACGGTGTAACAGTGATATATTCGAACGTATTTTTTTAAATCGGATAATAATTGACCTCTAGAGGGACAACAAGCTAAAAACATGATTTTTAGTACAATCAGGGGCTATAATCCATGAAGTTATGGTCCGATACATGCCACTATCGAAAGGAACCGAGATCTTTGTGTTATAAACATACCTTTCAAGTGTCATTAAAATCAGAAGAAAATTGTGACCTCTAGAGGGTCCACAATCTTGATATACCATATTTTTACGCTATTTGAGAACAAGGGGTGGCCATTTTGTCTGTCAGTTTTGGGCCGATTTTTACGAAATTCGAACTCAGCCATCCTTAGGGTGTAACGGTGATATACTAAAACGTTTTTGAAAATTGTGACCTCTACGGTGTTCACAAGTTAAAAACGTGACTTTTCGTACAATCAGGGGCCATACTCCATGAAGTTTCGATCCGATATATGCCAATATCGAAAGTAACCGAGATCTTTTGGAGATAAACCTATATTTCAAGTTTCTTCAAAATCGAATAAGAATTGTGATCTGTAGATTGTCCACAAACAATTGTGGACGGACGGACGTCCGGACGGACAGGGGCGATGACAATATACATCCACATGAAAATGTGGGCGTATAAAAACCCTTTGTACTGTGTACATGTAGGTGTACACGTAAAAGAACCTTGGTCCGTGGGAATTCGAAATAAAGAGAGGGCGCAGCGCCGCTGTTCGGTCACCACAACGCCATTCACGCCTTTATTAGCCCCGATGAAAAGGAAGTGGAGCGTTAAACCCCATTTCATTTCATATCATTTCTGAGGGATTAGGAGGCCGAATGTTTTTCCGCGTACGTGTTATATCATATATCATCAGGTCTGTCATTGAGTCAAGTGGCTTGCTTTCGGTTTTTCTCTGGGTCCTTAAAAACTAAAGGAATTATTAAGATAAAATTGAACCATGTTAGTCCCGATATGACCCAGTTTCTGTCGAGTGGACGTTAAACCCCATTTCGTCCACCAATCTCTCTCTCTCTCTCTCTCTCATATCAGTTCCATATTACCTTTGTAACTACCGGGTATACCAAGTTGTGGATTGTGGTTTAGACTACTAAAATAAGTTTCATCTGGTACGTCAACGTTTTTTACCCACTCCAGGAAGTCTGTGGCAGTTTTGTTGTTCAGGACATAATCTACAAAGTCTCGATTAACCACGATGTGAACGGAACCTTTAACTGGTCGTATATTATGGGGTGGTGAGACTCCTGCTTTAGACCATCTGGCTATATTAGCCCTGAAATTGAATAAATTAATGTTAGTCTATTACTGATTTATAAATATCATTATTCCTGAGGTCCAAAACAGGCCAACAGCCCCTGAAAAAAATATCAAGCCAACAGTGATACTGATTGCACTGACCTTACCCCCACCACCCCGTAAAAACACCTCATAATATTAATAAATTGCACATTTATCTTATCTGATCTGCTTGCTTATACCTACCCCATGATCGAACTTTCTCAAGGTTTTGATGTAGTGGGGCTATGCATCAAGTTTCATCAAGCTCTCTCAGTGATATAGTGTCCCAAATCACTGACCAGTCAAATTACTTGTTTATTCTTAGCCCATGATCGAACTTAGTCAAGGTTTTGATGTAGTAAGGTTATACACCAAATTTCTCCATGCAGTCTTTGTGCAAAATGTTAATCGTCGAACTTAGTCAAGATATTCAGCATCTACACAAGTAGAGTTATTATGTTCCAAAGTCTTAAGCAATCAAATCGCTTATCACTGCTTAGCCTAAGCAGAACATTCGCACCGTCAAACTTAGTCAAGTTATTGATAGGATGAAACTTTGCTACAAGTTTTCATCACTCTCGCTCAATAAGAAAAGTTATAATTTCACAAGAATCGAGCAATGAAATTGTGCATCTCTACTAGCAGAAAAGTTGTTGCATTCCAATATATCGACCAATGAAATCAAGTTTTGACAATCTCGACCAATGAAATTGCTTAACCTTGGTGGACAATGCTCATTATCATTAATTCCCGTCCTAGTCCGCACTTTTTTCCGTATGCAAATGAGGTTCGTCGTAGTTTAATATAAGATATATGTTTTATAATGAAGGTTCCCAAATACATTTGTCTATAATGCAAAATGCAGAATGGGGACTCTTTTATACTGTATTTTGTACTAGTGAAAAGTGTATTCTGTATTTGAACGTTGTGTGGGGGGGGGGGGGTGTTTAGCCCTAATCAAACGAAACACTGCGAGAAGTATGGAGAGACAGAGAGAGAGAGAGGGGGGGAGAGAGAGAGAGACATGGGGTTTAACGTCCACTCGACACAAACTAGGTCATTTCGGGAATAACAATTGGTTCACATTTTTATTTCAATAATTCCCTTGCGCGTAGGGTCTTTAGCAATGGGAGGAAACCAGAGAACCTGGATAAAACTCACGAGGTTGGACACCACGCCAATTGACTCAATGACAGACCCTAGGATACAGCGCGCACTTGCTAACCATCGGCTACCCACACCCCCGGCTATCAACATGGATACAATGTAAACAATACTGTTTGGAGACGAACAATGGTATCACCGTTTTTAATACCTTAAATCACTGTCCAAAGTTTTAGGGAAGACCCCAGATTAAACGACTGGCTGCCATGTTGCTGTACTTGGGATATATTTGATTGAACGGGAAGAATAGACACACTCCGTTAAGAGCTCTAGTATCAGAAGCCAATCCAGCAATGGTCAGAGGGGAATTTCTCGGGCCATTGCTTCAGGAATATGCTCTCTCTCTCTCTCTCTCTCTCTCTCTGTATTCGAACACTGTGATATTAGTATTGTGGAGCAATGGAAATTGCAAATTGTAAAACTAAAATGCATTTTGGACCGCGAACATTGAAATAATAATGGCAACGTTATTCTTCCATATTTCTTACACGCAGTGTAGTCTTAAACATCCGTCACCATCCTCGACTTAGATGATTCAACCGTGGAATAGCCTAGGGCCTATCATCATCTAATTCAGGCACTGGTTAGAAATTGAATATTAAAGATGCATTATATAAGATTTCGATAAAGAACTGGTCGTTGAAAAATAGATAATGAAAAATGAATATATTGAAAAATTTATTCAGATTTGCCATGTTAATAAATGTCTAAATAATAATTTATATAACATTTGAAGCCAAAATAAAAACCTACAAAAGGCATATTTAGCTCTTGCTATAATGTATCTTTAAACACGAGATCATTGTCGCAATCATTATACTTACCTTCTAACGGTTCCTTCCATATCATTAGCGCCATTATATGTTTCTAATATTTTAACAATTTCATAATTAGTCTTTAATGGAAACTCCTGTCCTGTCAAATTGATAAAGTATTTCCAATTTTTATATTTAAACAACATTTTCATACAAATTAATTCTGGCTCCAACACGGAGAACGTGCCCCACTGAACGTCCACGTACTTCCGGGTCATAAACACGTTGTCAAGGCACCCCACAATCCCCCGCACAGCGTTATAGATGTCTTCTGTGACCTTAGCGTCTACGTGAATACAATAATAGTTTTGTGGTCGGTAAATGGCCCGCAATAATCGCTCAAATTGTTCGACATCTTTAAACATCAAGATACTGTAAGCTATGGGGAAATCTCTCTCCTCTGACGTCAGAGAATCAGTAACGTAGCCACGTTCAGAGATGAAACTGTCACAGTTTTTGGTTTTAACGAAATACCACGTGTTCGAAATAGAATTCCTGTAGTTGTTTGATAAAAACGATGTAGCTCTGTCCAATTCCGGTTTGTTGCCATTTAACATTTTTTTACAATTTACTGCCTCGACGTAGTTAAATGTATAGTTAAATGATTTTCTTTTCACCATTGAATGCTTTCTAGTATTCCCATCCGAACCACTTCGTTCTTTAACGAGTTTTCCAGTAAACTTTGTCGGGATCTTGGTTGACCGGACATACATTGGTAGGGATTTTAACCTCCCTGGACGGGGTCGGTGTTGGAAAAGTGTTGAGGTGGAGCTATGCGTACGTTCGATGTTGTTGTAGTACAGAATAAGAATTATCGTTACGAACAAAAATACGGCGAGGAACTTGAAGAACACCCGGGGTCGTTTGTGACCCTCCATTACGGGTCAAGAACGACATGATCTGTGATGTATCATCACGTGTCTGCTAGCACCCGGACTTCTACGTTGTGTATCATCTGAAAATAGAAAATTAACCTTCATTATTTCTCTTATTACATCCATCTCTCTCATTATTTCATTTAAATACAAAATTAAAGCTATTTTCCACGTTTAGACCAACCACGATAAGGAAATGAAATGAAAAGGGGTTTAACCTCCTACTGTTTTGCTCCGACGGGGCTAATGAAAACGGGCATACGCCATACAGTGTGCTATGAGGGAAATTTTGCCCGGACAGAGGCGCTACGGCCTACTCTTACATCGAATTCTAACTACCAAGAGATCTTTTACGTGCACGCCAATGTGTACAGGGGACCTCTGTTTTTCGTCCTATCCGAGCCACTAGACAGCTGTCTTTGTCCTCGATAAGGAAGACAGCCATACGCCACGCACTGTGCTATGAAGGAAATTATATCCGGAAACTACAGGCGTTGAATTCCAATAATTTAATTGACCAGTGTTCATTTTTGTGCAAGCGTTTTTCGTATCACCAGAACAACTTAGCCAATAATCCCACACCACTAAAATGGGTAAAGTAGCCGGGAAAATCAAAGGGACCTGTTTTGGTGGGTCAACACCTTATTTTATTAGCCTATCATATCGCTGATAGTTTTTAAATGTGTGGGGTTTTTTTTTTATTCTATTTTAGGTTATCATATCGCTGATAGTTTAATGTGTGGGTGTTGGTTTTTTTTTTATTGGGCCATTACCGTTACACCATTACAGACCTATGTTCATATTACAATATATTCAATCAACTACTATAATACAGACGCTGTTAGTTAAAATACTCGACTGGTCAATATTCAAAATCATCGCACACTATAGGCTAGAGACCTGTCATCGTCGCACACTATATAGTCCCCGCATCATCGCAAACTATAGACTAGAGACCTGTCATCATCGCATGTTCGTGATGTAGGTTTAGGTTTTTCAGATGTTTAAACTGATATATATAATAAAGCACATTAATTTACATCATGAAAGTGTTAATATCACTTTAAGGTTTTTTTAAGGAATGGAAAAGAGCTTCACTAGTAGTCCAATCATATAACGTAGCCTTCGTGCTTAATAAATAGTATCTGTAAACAATAGAGACCCCCCCCCCCTCCTCCCGTTCCCCTCCCTCTTCGCTGATAAGATTTGGGGAGTATTTGGTGGTCGAATGGTTAAACGCGTGCACTTTAGAGCATAAGGTCTGTCATTGGCGTCGTTTCGATTCCCCGTGTGTATATGATAAGGAGTAGGATCACCAGTCCAACCTCGTGGGTTTTCTCCTGGCCCTCTGGTTTCCTACTACTACGAATGATCTCTTCGCACAGGTTAATTATTGAAATAAAATTGAATCGTATCTTAGTCCCGAAATGACCTAGTTTGTATTGAGTTGACATTAAATCTCGCTCGTCGACGACCTAGATTAAACAAGTAACATTGTGCTGATTAAAACAGACACAGAGAAAAATAGGGTTTAAGCTAGACCAATATCCTCCTCTCTCTCTCTCTCTCTCTCTCTCTCTCTCTGATGCGATATAATTCCAGTTTAATGTGTGTTTTTTATTTTCTCCCACGATTAAAGCTACATGTATTAGTAAAGAATGCCGGTTTATTTGACTAGACTTTAACGCGATTGGATTGTATTGACTGGTTGATTATATTAGATTACAGGTTACAGGAAAAGACACGATCATCTTGATTCAATACCAGATTATTCTGGACCACTATCAAACATACTGCGTCTCGTATTCTTTGAATGGCAGTTAGTCATTTGGACACACTCAAATAAATAAGATATTATTTATGGATAACATTCTCTGTAGTCTGTTGCACTGCGTTATCAAGTATTTAAACAGCAAGGGTAAATTTGTCCATCTTCGGGCACGTGACTTTAGGATAAATGCCGTGATAGTTGGAGGGGTGGATTAATAGGTATCCTCCCAAAACTTATAATTAAGACACCCAATCTGATTAAAATAGAGATCTATATTTCGTTTCGTTTTTTTATATACTTTCGGTGACCTACACTACATGAAGATCTGACCGGTTGCAGTGAAAGGTCGCGTCAGGTGTCATACGTGCGGCTTTTGGCCTTATGACGTCAGACATTGATTAATCAATCAGCGTTGACGTTTCTAGTGGTTTACCCACAGTTCCGTGTACTGCACGCCAAAAACTAGCTGTAACAGACCGTTTCATTGGCTAATCCCTCACATCAACCAGAACGCGGGTTATATAACGAAATTTTGAACTATAAAAAACGAAACGAAATAGGATCTGTGTTTTAAGAGACCTTAAAACAATATTTATGGAGAGAGAGAGAAAAACAATATTTATGGAGAGAGAGAGAGAGAGAGAGAGAGAGAGAGAGTATGTTCTCGAGAGTTCGTGGTCTTCCGGCGTTGTTCCGGTGTGTGAGTCGTGTAGGACATAAAGTCGTTCGGATGGTGCAAAAACCTGGTGTGTACTTAAAAGAACCTTGACATTCTTCATTAGCCCAGTCGGTAGACTACATCTCATTTTGGAAAGAGAAATGGGATTTAACATCCACTCGACACAAACTAGGTCATTTCGGGAATAACACATGATTCATTTTTTTTAAAAATAATTCACTTGCGCGTAGGGGTCTTTAGCAACGAGAGCAAACCGGAGGACTCGGAGAAAACCCACGTGGTTGGGCAATATTTATGGTTGGGTGCACAGCACATTGGGCTAATGAAGACGGTTGGATCATAAGGCTTCGATTCCGGTGTTGGCCAAGAAAGATCAGCTGTTTAGACGTTCCGGTGGGACAAACTGAGGTCCCGTGTGCACATTGGTGTACACGTACAAGATCCCTTGGCAGTTGGAATTCGATATAAGGGTAGGCCATAGAGCCGTTGTCCGGGCATAATTTCCCTCGTAGTACACTGCATGGCGTATGCTTGTCTTCATCAGCCCAGTCGGAGAAGAACAGTAGAACGTTAAACATCATTTCATTATTGTCATTGATTGCTTGTTCAACATCGTAGGTTTTCTCTAGGTCCTCCGGTTTCCTTCCACTGTTACAAACCCCCTTCACGTATATAATAATAATAATAATAATAATAACTAGATCTGCTACTGTCCCATGCCGATATGAAAGCTTTCATATTCATCGTCACGTGTCATGCATTATATCAAGTATCTTAAAAGAAAAAAAACCAAGAACAAATAATTATCGAAATCGGTCAAAAACTCGCGAAGTTACAAGTCTAAATAAAGTGAGAAACATTGCACCCGGGGGAAAAAAATAATCTGAAAACTAAAAGGAAATAACTGAAACGTGTATTGCTATAATCGTAATGACCTCCCTTTCCAGAAGTTTTAGAAAAATGGATCAAGCCGTTTAAAAATGGGACGGATGAGAAAATGAAATGAAAATGGCGAGAAAGAACTACAAAAAAGGCAGGAAAATATCGAAAAATTAAATAAGATAACTTTGAACGGAAATAATATTTTTTGAATCAGATTGACCTCAGCTGTTCAAATATTTAGGTTAAATTAGTAAATTTTGAAAATGAAAGACATAAATTTTCCTGTAAACAACTTTGCTGGTAAGTAAAAGGTCAGAGGCGAAATTCGAAATTTTGAAATTTACAAATACCAAAAATTCGACCCTGATCCCCGCTATCATGAAATATATTAATTTCAGAAATAGGAGACGCATTGAACACACTACGGACTATTGTGTTTATTTTCACGTCCGTTAAATTGGATTTTTCGCTGTTTTTCATATTCAATTCAAAATGGTGACCATCAGTTGACCGAAATCAAAATGCTGCTCTGAACGTTTTTTTAGGCATTCCTTCAGGGATTCAGAAAATGTAACATCCATGTTTGCAAGTAAAATATCGCAAAAGCCTTAGGGATTTTTCACATTTCAAGATGGTGGCACTTCCGGTTCAATCCATAGATTTCACATTTTGTGTATCCATCAGCAATTTCTTAGCTAGTACAGATAAAAATTTCCGAGACAATCTGACTTATAATTTGTCGATTTTTTTTAAAACTTTGATCCTTATTTTCTCCCAGGGGAGACAACTTAGAAATTTCTAATGACATCGCTGAAGTTGGATCAATCAGATCTACTTACATTCCTAATTTCATGAAAATCGTACTAATGTTCAAAAAGTTGTCATGTTGGTTTTACTTCCGAGATGTGATGTCAATGACGTAATATTCGAATTTCGATAATCGGAAATAGCAGATTTAAAGTAAATATTTAATGGTACTTAGAGAAAAAAGAATTAGTAAAATAGATGAAAAAGTTAAAAAGTTAGCTATGTACTTCAATTTCTTCAACAGTAAAATTTCGGTGATTTCGGAATCGTAAAACATTATGAAAATATATTGATTCTAAATCCTTCATCCCTTCTTGGAAGGGAGCTAACTAGAAATGTATTAATTTCGGAAATAGGAGACGAATTCATGAAACAACAGCCTATTCCAAGTATTTCCAAACCATTAATACGCATCGTTCACTCGTAAGCAATATGGTCGGCACGGAAAATGTGAAAAGGGAAATCGAAATTTTCAAATATTCAAATACCAAAAATTCGACGTTGAGCCAGGCTATCCAGAAATGTATTAATTTCAGAAATAGTAGACGAATTCAACAAACTACGGCCTATTGTGTTCATTTACAAGCCCGTTAATGTAGATATTTCACTATTTTTCAAATTCAATTCAAAATGGTGACCATCAATTGACCTAAATCAATATTCTGCTCTGAACGTTTTTAGGCATTCCTTCAAGGATTCAGAAAATGTAACTCCCATTCTGTATGTAAAATATCGCAAAAGCCTTAGGGATTTTCACGTTTCAAAATGATGGCACTTCCAGTTATATCGATAGACGTCATATTTTGAGTACGCATCAGTAATTCCTCAGCTAGTACAGAAATTTCTTTTAAGGCAATCTGACCTATATTTAGTCTATTTTTTTTTAAACTTTGATCCTCAGTTTCTCCAAGGGGAGATAAGTTCGAGCATATTTAATGGTA